TGTGCAGGGCCCAGGCTGGGGCCTCTGCGCCTGTTGCCGCCTGGGCTGAGGCATGAGACCAATGGTACCTTACTTAACACTGTCAATGCACAGGAGAAAATGTCCCTGGCCTGTTAATAAATCACTAGTTACTAGAAGGGAAGCACAAGACCTAGAGACGCTATGGTCTTCCTGGACTTGACACTCAGTTATCAGGTAGAAGGGAAAGCATATCTTAAAAATGAAGACAAAAAACCCAAATGCGTTTCTTTCTGAAGCCCCAGTGGGCCACTCCCGTGCATGAGGCAGAGCAGCATCTCTTACTGGGCTTTGTTTCAGAAGGGTGTTCTTTGTAACCACCCTCTCTTCCAATCTTTCTATAGGGGGGTCTTGCCATAGGGCCAGTGCATGCTCAGAAAAACTGTGGGGATTTTTGCTTTGGAAACAGAGAGCCTCATCACAGCCACAGGCACACTTGAGCTCTGCCAGGCACAGCTGGCCCAGATCCCTGGAATCCAGTGAGGCTTCCCAGCAGAGTTTCCACTCTCAGAATTGGTCCAAGGTGTCAGCATCCACAGAATATGCAAACTGAGCTATGTAACGTCTCCTGTTTATCATTTAGGGGTCCTGCTTCAAAACACACATGCGCCCACGACCCTTTAATCTTAGGGCATGAATATTTCATCATGGCTTTGATTGCATATAAAAGCAGTTCAAGGGTGTATTTTTACCTAAAGGTCTAATAATTTAATAACACTTGTCAAAGCCACATTGGTATTAGATTTCACTCTGTTTTAATAACACGTTGCTTTACATAGGGTCCATTTTTAATAGGGACCAAATAGTCTATTTTTTGGTTCTCCGCTTTCTTTTCTAAACCACAGGGCATGAAGGAGCTTCATCAGCACCCTTTGATGAAGAACAACAGAGCCATGAAGATTACTTCTATCAGACAATGAAAATCGCTTGATTGAAATCTTCTCTCTCTCTGTTGACAATGGTGTCACCTCGTGGATTACAGTCACCTTTTATCGGCCAATATCAGAGAATACACTGTAGAGAAATTCCCACTTGTTCAGAAAGCTGCTATGAGGCAAACCCTTAGGAGTACAGTCTAACTCTTCAGGTGCCGACCTTGCTATTCACAAAGTGAGACAGCTATTCATACTTTTACTTACAGTATACAGGATCTTTCTGAGCCCTGGCCATGTTAATCAGCTGGCATTGAGCATCTGATGCTTCATTACCTAACTTGCTTTCCCTAGATGCTGGTGTGTTAACAATCCCGAAAGGAGGAGACCGTTACTGGAACCCTTACCTGCTCCATGGGAAGGCCATGTCCACCTCTGGGTCACGGCTTCACTAAGCTCATGGTTTGCGAACTTCTCCCTGCCCTGTGGCTGGGAGGGAACAGGACTATCTATCACACCGCTCACTTTACTGTACTGGGCTTTTCTTTTGTGCTGTTACGCTTTAGAGGGAAATTATTTAATCCATGGTTTACTGAAATCCATGCTCCATAATGGTGACACGTAAGATTCTAATCTAGTTCCAGTGCATCCTCGTGGCATTTTTGTTTTCTAGAAACTTCATAAGAGATTAAATGTGTTTTATGAATATCTTACTGTTGCAGGGTAGAACATTTTTTTATGTCCACTGTAATTTAGAGTAATTTTTTTCTTTCATGAAAATCTTGAGATAATTCTCTAAGATAAGGAGCGGAGCACAGGAATGTTTCTTTAACTAAGGAATTAAAAAAAATAAATCCCCTAGTTTTTCCCTGAGGTCTCCACACTGGAACATCCGAAGCTCTAGCTGATCTCCCTGTATCCCCTATTTACGTCCATGTCTGTGTATTCACATGCATGTGTCTACATTTCCATGCTTCTAGCTATCTGTTTGTTTATCTATCCATCCTTCCATTTTTGGACTTTCCGGAAGAACCCAGAAGGGTAGAGAGCTGTATGTGACATCTAAGACTCCTCTTCCACAAAGCGCCCTTCTGAAGCAAAGCCACATGTTTCTGGTGATGACCCCACAAGTGGATGAGCAAATATTATATTAAATATCATCACCACCTCCCGCCCTCGGGGCGGATGGTGAAAGTGGACTACAAAGAGCACAGCCTCTCTCCTCAGCAAACACATGTTCAGGGGAAGGGACAACAAGTTAAACTGCGGGTGAGAGCAACATCACTTACTATATCTTTCTCCAGGTCATTTAAGGGCAATACTTTTTTACGACTTCCATCATTGTATTTCATTTATTGCATTTGACCTTTTTATCCACTTGGTTTCTTGCTCTAAAAGCAACTAATCTGAGGAATTTAAGAAACATATAAAGGGGAATTAAATTACAGGTAGGGAATCATAATGAAAACACACGTATCTCACAGGTGCATTCATATTGTGATGGTTTAGTATCATTGTTAATTGCATCTTGGTATCAAACTATCAATATCCTATCGCGTGGCTTCAGCACATTTAAATTAGCTCACAAATTTGTATCAAGTTTTAAAACAGACCACAAATCACATCAAAGAATGACTCTTCTCATATTCCATGACAATCTGAATTTTAAACTTGATATATAGTTTATCATTTTTTATTTCGATAAAGCGATTAAGTATGTGAATAAATATCAACCTAAGCCAACAAACAGATACAAAAGCACAGCCAGCTATTGACTCGATTTTTTTAGGGTTGTCTTAGTAAATAAAGTATTGATCTTTCTCATTTGGGACTTCAGGACAATCCCACTCCCTACTTCTCAGTAAAATGGATTCACTGGGCTTGTTCTTAGCAAACAGCAGTCCACATCAGAAAACATAAAACGGCACCTCAGCCAATTTGGTCTTTTTTTTTTTTTTTCTATGAGAATAGGTTCATATGTCTTCATGGAGACCCAAACCAACCATCTCATAAAAGAACAACTTGAAATCATCCAGCCTCAAATGAGTCTTCTCTCATCATTATTTTAATAAGCACTACACTGCCCAGTGTTTTCCCAGGGCGATTTTTTTAGACATAGAATTAGGTAGCTTTTCATCAACTCTGAGCAACTTTTTTCTCACGTTGTAATGTTGCTTTGCTTCTTTTTGTTTTTTTGTTTTTGTTTCTTCTCCCCTGACTTGCTTTTATTTTGGTTTTGGTCAATACATGTGACGTACAAGGCAGCAGGTGGCTAGGAGGATGCTAAGTGAGTAGCTGCCCTATCTCACTGTTCATCAGCAAAAGCAGGGCAAGACAACAGTGACCCACAGGGAAACCTGACTTCCTGCAGCCACAAGAAACCCAGTGGTTTGCGCGTTATCACCCAAATACAGGTTTAATCTGTAACTTCGTAAGCTACAAATATTTACATAAGTTTATCAAGTTTGACTTAATATCTCAAGTCATGAGACATTAAAAAATTGTCAAGATAGAAGACTATTTTTAAAGGGAAATCCAAGAAAAATACTGAAAAGCCCAATTTAGCAAAACCTTAGATATTCGCTGTAAGCCAAGGTGCCTGGTCCTCTCCAAAGTAAAGCATCACCGTCAATGAAAGGCACCCCTCAGTGAGAGAAGGTGTACCTCCCTAAGTCCGTTAAGCTTACAAACAGGAGCCCACATTTTCTTAATTTCTATAATCAGTGTTAGTATTGTCTACATTTGAGAATTTTTAATAATGATCAAAAAGGGTATGAAAACAAATTTGGCAGCACTTCTACAATTACAACTGTTAACATTTTTCACAGAAGCTGACTTATTGCCATAGTTTCCACCATGCTCCTGAAGGTCACTTAGGTTTTAAGGAATAATTTTCCTATTTAGTGCATTTCCCAAGAAAACCCACGTTAGGAGAATGTTCATGATTTACTACTTTAAATGCCAAATTAATCTTAACTAGATACATTTCAATAAAGCTATGGGGACTATGTTTTAAATAACAATTGCCCTACCCTATTGGAAAACAGTAATTATTATTCAGTTCAGTTTCCATCGTGTGCCAGCTAGAGTGCAGGTTTTTTATGTAGGAGCCATCATACCTAAGCAGCTACAGACATTAAAAAAAAAAGCACCCAAATAATTAAGTGACATTAACTTACTTTTAATAAGAGTCGAGGTGGGGAGGGGGCATGAAAGCCCTTCCCCTTAGTTTTGGTAAATTTTCCTAAATTTAAGAATTGTTTCCTGCTGGAGTCAGCAGAATGGTTTAAATACATAATGTGCTTTTTAGGCAATTAAGTAACAATATGGCGAAGACTCTGTAGCATCTTACCCACTTGATTCTCACCAAAGACAATGAGAATCTCTTTTTAGAAACTGGTGTAGACTATATCCGGGCATTTTTAATCATTAAAGTCAGATGCCATTGAATGCAAATTTAAAAGAGATCATGAAATTTCCAGGAGTGATTGTTACTATACTTTGTATATTAAGTGTGGCCAAAAGATAATTTCCCACCAGGTCCCTCCTCCCTTTCCATACCTGTATAAGAATGGTAGATTATTTAGTAGTAAACTCAACACATTAACTGTAAGCCAAAAAAAACTTTATAAGAAAAACAAACAAACCAGGAGAGTTTGGAGCAAACAAAACACAATATCTTTTAACACATGATGCAATAATAAATCAACTTTCTAAATCATTTAAACTCAGAATGGTGTTTAAGAGAGGCCAACATAATTATTGTTCACTATAAATTAAAGCATTTATTAGTTTTTACACATTTCACTAAACTTTAGAGATGAGAAGTTTTAAACTTGTGGTTTCTACTGATATTTCACAGCTTGTAAGGGGCACAGTACATCTAGCGTTTAAAGAAATTTAAATTTCATGCCTGATAAACAGTAGATTTGTTTCTGTCACCAGTAGCCGTATCTCGCCCACAAGACCACATTTTGAATTTGTTGCCATGTATTTCCTTAAACTTATAGCCAATCAAGTATTTGAGAATTCAAATCTGGTTCTTATCAGCGAGAGCACTGCACCTGTATATGCGCACATGCACTGTTATGAAATAAACAGCATACATTATGAAATCCCTATTTTGTTTACGAAATGTCTTCACTATTTTCCCCAATACAGAATTAAATGCTTTATTGTCAAGCTTGATTTATCAAAATCTGCAAAGGTTAATTTAAGTTTATGTACTCCACAGCTTTACCTACAAAAAAAAAAAACCTCACGGTTTGTCTTGATGTCAAACAACAGATTTTCAAAATAAACCATAAATGGAGACAAACACAGCATAAACAAGAGACAAAGTTTCTTGTCATGAAAGACAACGTGCAAACACAAAATGCAGACATTGACCTTTGGGGTGTGATGACTACTCCTCTCTACAGCTAGCAGCACGGCGTTCCTGGAGCTCAGGGTGATTAGTAGAAGCCTCACACAGATCTGGAAAAAAGAATTACATAGCATCAGGATCCCTTTAGGCATCAGCCTAGTAAGTCATTTACATTATGCGAAACCTACATTCTGGTGGAAGCATATTTTTAAAACTTTTATTATGGAAATGTTCCCAAAATTTTATTATAGAAGTTACCCAAATGCAGAAAGAAGGTGTAATCTATTACCCTGCACCCCAAACCCAACTTCAACAAAGATCAACACTGCTGTTCTTGTCCCATAGTCCCATCTTTTTGGCTGGAGTATTTTAAAGCAAGGCCAAGGTATCGTGTCATTTCACCCATGGCTCCACTTAGGTATTTTACAGCTTGTAAGGGGCGCAGTACATCTGGCGTTTAATCCAAGGACCACAGAAGCAACTAGATACTTTGATAATACCACTTTTCCAGTTGGAAGCAATTAATACCGACTCTATTGAAAAAGGCTATGGATTACTTTAGCTACAAAGTTTTTAAAAAATATGCTAGCCTTTGAAATAATTATTTTACACATTAGAAATTTTAGATTCCCATTAGTGTTGAGAAGTCTGTATAAAAAGGTAAAAATCTTTCACTTTAAATGTAGGCTGAGCATTTCTAGACAGTTGATCTCATATTCATACACTGCATCCTAAATTGTTATATAGCAAAGTAATCAGTGATGATGCTTTTAAATGTTAAGGTTTCATATTGACACAGAAATGATACATACAGAATATATTTATGTATTTATTTGTGCCTTCACATAGTCTACTTAACAAATACTTCCGTGAGTATTAGAAGATCCATTCACTATTAGCTACAGTGCTATGGTTCATATCTCAAGTGGCATATAGCTGCACTTTTCATCATGACCCTATATCATATTAAGATTTTAATCATTTTGACTCCAAGACATTAAAATGACATTCTGGAGAAGTCTGGGCTATATGCCCCAAGATATTCCACCAGGAACATCTAATGAATTTGCCTTTATTTTCTTGCCTAGGACAAAAAGAGACTATTTGAGGAATAACTCCTTATTACTCTGTCTCACACTCCAAAAACAAAGTACATTTGATGACTTTTATTCTATCCAGTAAATAAACTGCATTGGCAGCCACAGATTCCTTTGTAATCCTACAACCTTTCATTGAGATTTTTTTCACTCATCAAAAAAATGACACATAATGAAAATCTCAGTGATACATTTTCATCCGAACACAGTCATCTTAAATCTGACATATACATTTTCTCCCTCCTTCCCCATTTATTTTTGCATGGGTGAATGTTAGAACTTTAATACTCTGAAGAGTCTGTGAATGTGTCCTTACTTGCCAACATATCATTATTATAAATAAAGTGAAATAATCTACACTAAGAAGAAAAAAAGTGAAACTCCTATGTAAACAAGGTGTATATAAAGTGTAGAAAGGAACTAAACTTTCAATAAAACCTCTAATTCTACCAATGTCTATTTTCTAAATGTTTATCTTCCTAAAAGCAACGTGTGAATATTTTAACAGCGTAGTGTCTTGCACATAGTAGACACTCAGTAAATAATGACTGCTTACCGTGCAGTTTTGTACCCTCCAACACACATGCACACACACACAAACACACACACACACAGAGTCACATCTTTAAGACACCGTTTAAACTCTGGAGAGTCTATCACAGCGAAGCTGCTGTGCAAGATCACAAGGTAAAGCATCACCTTCACAAAGCAGAGTGTGAATGTCATATTCTGGTTGTAAACTGGCTGTACTTGTATTTTAGATTAGGTACCAATGCATCTGGAGTTTTCTACAATATGAACGTTTCACCCTTCAGTTGTCTGAAACCATCCCAACGCGTTAAGACACATGAACTCTCTGGTGCTTTCAGTCACTTATCGGAGTTTTTATCATTGATGTGCTGCTTGAGCTTTTTCTGGCAGAAATTGATAAGTTTGAAGAAACTCTCTTCCTTGTTATTGTGTCATTAACTCAGTTCAACAGTAGGGCTTTTTGAGTGGGTGGGAGAAGTCTAGTCTCTTTCTAGGATTAATTTATTCTCAGTTTTTAACTTATGAGTGATTTAGAACATCCATAAATATGTTTCATGAAGAAACGTTACCTGAAAGGACTCACCCCGCTTCACTATGTAGTGGCTGAATGGTGGCTTGCACCTTTGATTATTTTTCCTACCTTTTACTTCCAATACTGCTGTTAACAGTGTAAGCACTTAATCAGTGTTTTAAAAATCAAATGCCAATTAAGAATTACCTGGTCAGGTTTCATTTTATACTTTCAAAATCGCACCTGTTTATTCTTTCAGCGTGCATTTTCTCAAGGTGTTAGTTTTTATTCCAATTATAAATATGCAAAAGGAATTAAGAAGAGTAGTTAAGATGATTGAAATTAAGTCAGATTGACAAACTTGGGAGCAGTCTTTCCCCAGGATCTTATGACTAGTTGCTGCGGCCCTCCCTGGTCCTCCTGGGACACACGAGAGAGGGCCCCCGGAGCAGTGGATCTGCATTTGTCATAGACAATAATGACAAGACCACATCCTTTATGAGGAAGAAATAGGAAAATCAATATTCCAAGTATCGTTCATCAGGTTTTTGCTTATATCTGAATGCATACATACATCTCTGAATTGTTTAAAACACCTTAAAAACATTTCTGTGGGAAGCTGTGGCTATGGACATCACACATTTCTGTAGCATATATGTAACATCAAAGAAAAATATCCCAAATGCCTGAATAAGCCTGACTATGTGGTCTCACTGTATTCTTCTGCAAGCTTCACTAAAACTGCATTTTAAACAGAAAACAACCCCATTATCTACTCAGAGTTAAAAAAAAAACAAAAAACAAAACAAAAAAAACACAAACTTTACTTGTTCTGTTAATGGGGGATTTGTGTGCTTCTTGTTTAATAACTTTTGATGACATGAATATTGATCTACAAATGTGCAGTAGCTGTTATTTTAAGGACTTTGATGCTACATTTGATATAATGGATGTAGGTGTATTATACTTTATTGTAAACAACTGCTGAATGCTAATTGTCTCAAACTTCCACATTGTTTAAAAGTACCCCTCTGGCTTTAAATCACTGTCTTCACATCTACTCATTCATTTTCCCAAAGGTATCCAAAAAGAATGCACAACTGTGTACTCCATTGTATCCAAGTTAGGGAACTAGGAGATCTACGCACAGCCAAACAGAGTGGAGAGGAAGTGACCACAGCTTTCAACTTTGTATATTATAAATAAAATTCTGCTCATTTTTTCCAGCTTCTGTGTGTGTGTATACGCTTAAGAATTAAGTATTATTTTCCACCCTCTGGGCCAGAAAAAAAAAAAATTTAAGAAGTAGATACAGGAATAGAACCTGAAAAAAAAAAAAAATCCAGCATCCCCACCCCCCCGCCCCACCCTACCCCAAAACAAAGAAACAACAAAAACTTTAGAAAGTTCTTACAAAACAAAAATCCCACCTTCTGCTGGTGTAGCAGATACTCTAGTCATGAAGTCAGAGTCTCTTTCTCTGGTCCAGGATGGAAAAATCCTATCTCTCAAAGTTTTTAAAAAGAAGGTGTTTTGGAGTCTTCTAATTCTGAATAAGAATTTTCTCCTTAACAACTGGAAATCAAGAGTGTTTGAATTCCCTTAAGGGGTAGAGGAAAGAAAGTACAAAGAGGAAGATCTCACAGCCCTGTGGTTTCTGTGTATCTGTTTTCTCTCACATGCTGTCGTTTCTGATTCAGCGGAGATGGGGGATCCTGTGTCTGAGCCGTGGGTCGCAGCAAGGCAGCGAGTCTCGGTCTGCAAACAAGACGCTGCAAGGCTGAGTGAGAGAGAGAGGGTGTGCGAGCAGCGAGCACATGTTACATCAGACACAGTACCTGATTTTTCACTGCACAGCTTGTCAGCGAGATAGTGTGCCTCGTGGGCGATAAGTGAGGATATTTCATCTTCATACGCTTCTATTATAGTTTCACACTGTAGAAACATAATAATGGCACATGTGGATAGACGCACACTGGTGGGGATCCTTGTTAGGAAGGACTTTGCAACCATTTATTAGCTAAACACAGGAAATCATGGAACCAAGGTGGTCCGTTTTTATGAGCCCTTTTGGTTTAATACATCATTGCATTGGATTAACCATCTTCCCAGAATGTTAATTGCATCATTTTCCTGGGACTTAAGTCAATGATGAGTTGTGCTGGAAGATGTGGGAGGCTAAAGAAGCAACATCGCTCTGCATGTTTTGCTTCCTTAAATTGGAATGGAAGTCATAGGAAGAAATGGGCCTCCTATTTAAATGAAAGGTCTTACGGTTTTTAAATTTAAAAAAAAGTAAAAGACCATAGCTCATCGAAATGGTTAAACCAGTTTCCTTCAGATTTAACATAATAATCCATTGTGTAGCTTGAAAGTGTGAAAACAATTAAGCCTTCTCAGCAATCAAAACAAACGCATCTTCAATTTCACTGTGGAGAACACACTTGACAGTTACTTCGGGAAGTGTCTTTTCATACTATTTAGAAATCCATCCAAAATTTCACTTCACTGGAAAAAACCCTGACATTTCAGAGAAGAGGGCGCTCCAATATGCCCCTGCATTTGAAAATCTTAAATTCTAACTGGAGTATGTTTCTTTGGTAAAGAACTACCACGTTATACTTTTAGGAGCTGTGAAGTTACCCAGTAGTATTCACTGGAGACTTGTAAATCGTTTTCTGAGTTCATTAAGCAAGACTCTAAAAATTTTTAATGGCATTTAAAAAGATTTAAATTCGACTCAATGTGCCTATTTAAAACCTGTGAAATACAAACATACTTATTCACTGCCATTCTTATTCTGTGGCACTTTTAACCTTGATTATTGCCTTTACTTTCTAATTAAAATAAAATCTTTGAAAGTCAGCTAAAGCCCTCATTTCAAGGGTTCAGCATGCCTGATATTTTGGACAGTGTGTGAACTTAATACATTTTAAAACAGGATTGCCCATCACTCTGTCTGATTCAACAGCATTGGTTAAAGTGAAATATATTGCAATGTATTTTGCCAACACATTCTAGCAAGCCAGAGACTAGCTTTCATGAAAAATAAATATTACACTGGAAAGAAATTTGGCATCAAGCCAACTATCATACTTAAGCCTTTGTTTAACTTAGTTTGGGCTAGAATACTTGAATTCACTCAGTATGCAATTCTCTCTCCTCTGTGAAGCCTCAGGAAAAAAAGAGATGGCCGCATCATTCTCTTTCTATCATACGGCTGTAAATATTTGAAAGCGCCATTTGTTTTAATTTGGATTTTAACCTAGAAAGCACAGCCCCTGATTCCTTACGTGGAAGCCTGGGAGAGCCCTTCCTCAGCACCAGCACCGACTGAGACCACTCCCCAGTCCCTACATGAGCAACACGGTTTAAGCAAAACATTGTGCAAAGCTGTGTCTACAGGTCCCCGGGATTTGTGAACAGCATCTCCCATAAAATATCACTTTTAAACGTGTCCACTGATCACCACAAAATGCTACAACCCCTTAGGTGTCTCAAAAGGTAAGTTACTAAATGCATGGTGAGCACTTACGCAGCAAGACAACAAAGTCAGCAGATGACATTTTAATGTGCATTTTGAGGTGCCACGCCTTAAACTCAACCACAAGAGTAGTGAACAAGCAAAAAGAGTTCCAAAAACACGTTTCCGGATCACATGATTCATCTGCAAGGAAGGGAGCTTACCGCAAATTTCAAAGGTCTGTAAGCATCAGAATAAAAATGGAATTTTTTAAATTCTTGGTATATTTTGTCTCCTTTCCTAGGAGCAAATCTCTTGAAAGTTCTCTCCTTCGTCACAGGGTCTTCTTCGAGCTTGTAGTCGCTCATTCGCTCACACACTTTCTCCAAAAGGTCCGTTAGGAACGCCTCCGACTGGGCTAGGGGGATCTGAGAAGAAAGGCAAGGCGAGGAAACTCGTCTTAACGTTAGTGTTACTGCGAGTCCACCCGGAAACGCCGCACTGGCGGTGAATGCCAGCGTGGGCCGCTTCCCCAGCACAGGCACGAGGCGCGGCGCACGGCACCGCAGGTTGTGATCACAATGTGGCCACGACCTGGTTTGCATCATGTCCGGGGTCAGCGTCAATTCTAGTTTTTACAAAGTGCGTGTCTTTCAAAGTGGACAGAAAGAAAAAAACGTACATTCAAACTAGAAACTACACCTCTCCATAGAATCATGTTTAGAGTCACTGAGCATGTAGCGAAAAGCATGACGCACGGAAAATGGCTGTTATTATCCAACTACCCGTCAGGAGAGAGAGCAAGAGACAGGAGGGGGAGAGAAACAGGGAGAGGGAGGGAGAGGGAGAGAGAGCGCGCGCGCTCAGCTGGCTTCAGACCCCCTCAGTGGGGAGAAGTTGGGGAGGCCCAAAGTCCGGCCCTCGGCGGCGCGCCCTCGGCGGCGCGTCCCCCGCGCTGCCTCCGCGCGCTGCCCCGGGCTGGGGCGGACGCGGGGCTGGAGAGGAAGGGGCTCGCGGACGGGCTCCCCTTCTCGCGGGCGGGCTCCTCGGCTGCCTTCTTTGGGAACAGCTGGTGCACGTCCCCGCGCGCCCCTCTCCCTCCGGAATCCGGCGAGGATTCAGTGGGACCCCGCGGCCACCACCTCCGCCCCGGGCGCGGGTCAAAGAGCACCCCTCGCCCTTGGTAACGGAGACAAAACCTCCGGGGCCGTCTAGACGGGTCAAGGTGCAGGACGCGGCGTCCCCGCGGCTCCTTCCGGAAGGGGGCGTGGAGCCGCCAAGGGCGCCGGACCGCGCCGAGCCCGCGGCCTTTGCGGGCTTTCTCCCTCTCCACCCTCCGCTGATCAAAGCAGGAAGTTTGCATGACAACCGCAGTGAAAGGGCCTGCATCACAAATGAACTCGGTTTCTGCGGTGTCGATATCTCCAGCCTCCATTGTCCCCTTTCAGGCGCAGTATGAACCCTTCCGGTGCCAGCGACCGCGCGGCATTCACAGGCGCGCTCGGGGCGCACAAAGGGTCTCCGCGCTTCACCGCCATCTGGCCACAAATCTCTCCGCGGCGCGGGCGGAGGGTGCGCCTGCGTCCTCCAGGCCCAGGTTCCGTTACCAGCCACCCCGCGTCGCCACCGCCGCCCCCCGCGTGCGTGAGGAAGACACTTTGTGAAAACATCTCAAAGAAACTCGGCAAGAGGACGCGTCCGGGAGACGCCGCCGCCGATTAACGCTCAGCCGCGCCTCCCCCGGGCACAGGTAACCTCCCTGCGGCTCCCCCGCACGCCGCCGGCGCTGGATTCGGAGCGGCTCGCCAGGCCCAGGCCCTCGAGGGGGAGGTCAATCGCTTGTGGACTGTTTCACACAATACACCGCCACATGTATCCAGTCACTCAAATACCACGTTTTTAAAACTCGTGAACGTTTTAATCTCTAAAAACCTCTACAGTCGAATACCGCAGCCTCGACGGCTCCAAGTACATATTTCAAACACAAGTTGCCTTCTACTTACAAATTAAGCCGTTCATTAACGTTCATTAATGAAGTTGTAAAACAGGCACACAATACGTAGATTAACAAACAAAACTGAAAATCTGCTTTATTAATTTACAGAAACGAAGACGTAAACACTGGAAAAACTATAAAATGCAGAGGAGCATTTTAAAATGTAACTTGATCAAGACAGATCATTAGCAGAAAGATGGTGGAGGTTTTCTTTTTTCTGGGATGCATGTATTTTAAGTATTATTTCCTTAGCTGATACATATACAATATATTCATAGTCGTTTCTGGATGTCAACAGAGCAGCATTTTACTTGAAAGTAAAGAGTAAGCTCTTTCATTTAAAAATACCTAACTGTAATCAAGAAATTCATTCTCTCCTTCCCTTCCTCCCCCCTCCCCCTTTCCCTTCCGAAAAGTAAACATACTTGTTACTTGGGGGGATGGGGACAGAGCCGGGAGGAACCAGGCAAGATCTGATCGCTGGGGCTTTCAGAACCGTAGGCTTTCCACTAGAACACCAAACTCCATCCTAATACACCAGCTAATTCATATTGAGTACAGGCCACGCTGAAAACTAATTTTTCAATTCATAGAACATTGTGAGCTGTTGGCAAAAACTGCTGAGCACCTAAGTTTTGAGCAAAATTATGATGTTTGTGTGTGGAAGGCCTTCCCCATCTTACTCTGGGGGCCATTTGATTGATTTCCTAGGTTGCACTTTTTGGAAACAGCGCTCTGTGTTAAAACTTCTCACCTACCAGTGGGTTGTTTTTCTTTTGAAAGTGTAATTTGACGTTTTGAATATACCGCTGTTTTACCTCTTTTAACACAAATATGTTGTGGCAAGGTACACACCTGTGAATTTCTATAATTTTGTCAGTCGATGAAGGCTGACTGGCTTTTTGATGATAGCCCTTTAGAGCAAACATTATTTAAAAGTAGAAAATGTTTGCTGGCAGCTAGCTCAGAGACACTACAATACGATATTCATTAAACACAGGAAAGGGAAAACAGCCAGTGTGAGATGAGTTGAGTGGAGTTCATTTTTGCAGAAGGTTAAGAAAAATTTTGATCCTAAAATCGCAAAGCATCAATTTTTTGAGAAAATATTTAAGAAAAAGATGCTTATGCATTACAGCTCTTTATACATTTATTCAAATGTACACGATTAGAGTTTAAAATGATTCTAAGTAGCTGAACTACGTTCAGTACATTTAAAGACTGTTCACAGAGTAACTGGGGCTTTTTTTTCCCTCCAAGTGTTTTGATTATAAGAGGGCAATAAGTATTGGGACAAGTGGAATAAAACGAAGTCTTTCTATACTGTGAAGATTTTGAATAGTACTTGTCAATGAAGCATCTCCTATTGTAATCTTAGGGAGCCTTCCCTCTGCCCTGCAAGGACTGTCTCAGAGATACTAGCCTCATTAAAATATGAATGAGAAGGCCTGTGTATCCAGAGAAAACCCCCGTACTGGCACAGTTTTCTTATCTGCCGTTGCTTTTACACATGGACTTGTCTGGTACACGTTCTAAGTAGAAGAATGATCCATGATCATTTCACTGCTATCTTAGAGTACCCCAAGCACTCCAAGTAAATCCTAACTTTTCCCAATTTTTAAACCCATCTGTAACTCTTAATTATACTTCCTAAATGTGGTGCCCGTTTCTCTGCCTTTAGGTTTCTTGGGACCTTGCACTTGTTATGTGAGTAATGGAATGGGGGTGGTGGGATTCCCATATCCCTACTTTAGAATGGAAAAAAGTAGTTGAAAGTTCTGGCTTTGGCTCCTCTAGAAAACCGGAGCTAGGGAGTTTATTACAGACCACTGTGATAACGCTTTAATAACGGCCAATTACAGCATGCCTCCATGTTTGTTCATTACTGTGTCTCTGTTAATCTTGTAGTAAATTTCTTGCTTGATAGCTGTCACAATCAGCAGGAATACAATTATGTTACAGTGGAAACTGTCGTTGTGGTATATCTGTCTCTGCCATTACAGTCTGACAACCTCCAATAAATTTCACTCATCTTTATCGTTATTTTGGAGTGTCCTTCAGATATGAAACCAGCACGTAACCTGTTTAGTGACTGATAATTAATTTCACATTGTAGCAAAGATTTTCTTTCTAGAGGTTTAGTTAATGTAAAATTTTAATTGCATTGTAGCAATATTGCATCTGGTTTAATCACTAACTTTTCATCCATAAAAATTGAAATCACTGCTGATATTAGTTAAAAGTCAATATTTAGAAGTGAAAATTCAAGGCTCCTTTGCTCTAGGCTACAACAGGGGAAGCATGAATTCAGAAACTCTTGTAAGCTGATGAGATATATAATTAGCTTTTATGTTAATTGACTGCTATGAGTTTGTTGTATGACACTTCTTCATATAATATGCAAATAGCATTGACTGTTTAGTTTTATTAGACAATATAATTAGAAATCTAAAGGCGCTCATTTCGATGAGGAATAATAAAGGCTGATAAATTTCCAGTGTTCTGTAGATCAGAAAAAAATGAATTGCATCTGGACTTAATAAGAGATGTTTTAGCTAGACATTATTTAGGGAGCCAAAACCACATATAACAGAATTAATAGAAGTGCTTCCAGCCACCATAAATTCCATATTCAAACAGGGGAATTTGTAGTGTCCATAAGACCTTGGGGGGAAAACAGAGAGCCTTCAGTACAATTTACTACAAATAATAGTGTACTTAATGAAAATAATACCTAAATTTTGCCTGCTATGATATGAGTGAAATGTCATTCTTATTTAAAACAAAATAGTTTGCAAGTAAGTGTTCCCTCTTCTTGTTCCTCACAGACACTTACCCGTAACATATATGCTTAGGCTGTTCAAAAAAAGCAATACAATAAGAACAACGTGATTTGAGGGGGATATTTTTCTAGAATTCATTTTTTAAAAAATTCTGGAGCTGATTTTCAACTTAGTGACAAAACAGAAAAAAAAAACATTATGAATTAACATTAATAATCTCTCTAAATGGGGGTCATCTAACAATTTGATTTTTTTATGAAGTTAAAAAACATTTTCCGTTTATTATTAAATGCAAAATGGGTACTAGCATTTTCTTTCCTATTTTAAAAAGTATCCTGCTAGTTTAAAAAAATAAATGCTTTAATTTTCAAACATTTTAAGTAGAATGAAAAGAAATACAATCTGTCACATGAAAAATGCCATAAGCTTAACCTCTGTTAAAAACCTTCTAAGCAAGGACTTTGGGAGCCCAATTCACACTGCACCTCTCGGCTCCGGTGGGCGAAGCTCAGAGGGCTCCTACTGGTTTTGAAAAACACCTAAGAGGAGAAAGTGAGAATACCTAAAAGGGCAGAGGCAACAATATTGCAGCATAAATGCAGCATGATGCAAATTTGTGCATTCGTTCAACAAATATTTACTGAACTCCGTCTAATGTCAGACAAATACACTTCTCTAATTCAGACGTTTAAAAAGAGGACCTTCCGTGATTCTGCATAAAAATGAAAATAAAATTTTTGAAAAAGAACGTGTGCCCAGTGGAAGTCCAATAAACATGAATTAATGATAATATAACCCTTTGTCATCGATTGAGCTAAACACTTCAATGCAAGATCTGTTTTTATTTTTATTTCACAGTGTTCTGCCCAAAAAGCTCTGCATGTTTCCCCGTCTTGAGAACGTAATGGTTGATGAGTGGTTATCTATTTGGAATCACCTCTGCAAAACATTTCCCCAAGCTAGAAAGGGAAAAGTACTGTTTTTGGAATCTGTTGGGGCATTTCCCAACTTGGTCTTCTGAATACTTGCAGGCATATGCCAAGACTTTGTTATAAAATGTTAGCTGTCTGGCCCGGCATGGTGGCTCACGCCTGTAATCACAGCACTTTGGGAGGCCAAGGCGGGCCTGAGGTCAGGAGTTCGAGACCAGCCTGACCAACATGGAGAAACCCCGTCTCTACTAAAAATACAGAATTAGCTGGGTGTGGAGGCACATGCCTATAATCCCAGCTACGTGGGAGGCTGAGGCAGGAGAATCACTTGAACCCAGGAGGCAGAGGTTGCAGTGAGCCAAGATCATGCCATTGCACTCCAGCCTGGGCAACAAGAGCAAAACTCCATCTCAAAAAAAATTTTTTTAATAAATTGTAAATAAATAAAATATTAGACATCCAAAAGGAAAAGA